CGAATGGGTCGGCTCGACCGAAGTGATACTACGGCTCACAGAATACCAACCTGAAACAACCACAACGTTGTGTTTCGCCGTGTGAGTGAGGTTACCGGCCCAAGGCCCAATCCCTCCCCCTATCCTATCCTTTCCCGATCCTTATATCCGCCTATCCCCAAACTTTGGTGTTACGGGTGTCCATGGGCGGCACTGATTGCTTACCATCAGGTAATCCATCTGCTCGTCTGCCGACTTATACCATAAAAAGCGACGTAATGATTTTTTCATGTTAAGATTTGATAGAAATTGTCAAATGGATGATGATGAAGTATATGCTTGTAAATATATTTTCTCCCTCCAGCGACATTTTAGTAGCTAACCGACACGACATCTCGTCTTCCTGACTTAATGATTGTTCTCCCCCCCCCCCCCTCCCTCTCTCGTTACGTAATACTGTCCTACACATTCATTCATTACATCCATTGAGATCCGCAGCAACAGTGATAAACTATTTGACGGATGACTAACTGACGGATGAACTCTATTAAATTCGTTAATAGAAAACTATAAGGTACAGGTCCTTTATAATCTAGGTTTAAAGTGTGGACGAGCCATCACAGCCATCATTGGCTTGACCGGTTGCCTAACGCTTCCCCCCCCCCCCCCGCCTGCCCCATTTCATCCCAATCTTGTAATCCCTAAAAGGCCGGCAACGCAATCGTAAATCTACTGGTATTGCGGGTGTCCATGGGCGACGCCGATTGCTTACCATCAGGTATTTTGACTGCACGGTTGGTGCGGCGGCTGAGTAACTGGCTGCCGCGCAACGTGTCGCGGGTTCGATTCTTGCATGCAACAACTCTTTGTGTGATGCACAAATTATTGTTTCGGGTCTGGGTGTGATGTGTATAACTAATGATATATGATATGATATTAACTGTATGATTGTAAACACACCCACGACAAAGGAAAAAATCCTATTCATATATTTTTTTAAACTGTGTACTCACCGGGCGCTGCCTGACCGGTGACTCCACTCAGTACTCACTTAGGTTCGTGTCAAGAGAAGAGTAAAAGTTATTTGTACCTGTGGCTTCACAGACCGCGACCACTACCACGGCACGGAACTAACTGTCGGCTCACTCAGCACGCACAGTGCACGGAGCTTAGTACTTGAAACTTTTTGAACACAAACTTTTTCTCACAAGAAAACTTCACAAACTTGTTCAAAGTGCGCACGTGTTCTTGTTAAAACATGCAATGTTTATGTGACGCAGGTTGCAACAAAACAAATCCGATCTCATAGACGAGTGTTAGTGTGGCGCGGCTCGTGTCGCGGGTGTGTGCCGCCGGAGTCGCGTGTCGCCTGGCGCGCGGCCGCCACCCGACTGGCGCCGGCAGCAGGCGGCGGCCGCGCGCCGGCTCTTGTTTACCACTCCGTATGAACTACAACTATTGCTCTCTGCACTATTTACAATGCTCTACTCCATGATATCTCATTCATTACGCAACCTATAATTACAATAACTACACAATGTATCGTGCATTGTATGTATGCGATGTTAATCACAGTACTCTCTAGTTCCGGCTCCAGCCGCAGCATCAGGGTAAAAGTAGTTCATGTGTTATTAACTTTTTGTGTAAAATATCAATAAACTTTCAGTGGTTTTCACGCAAAAAAATTACAAACATTAATACTTTATTAATAGTTTTATTACAAACTTACAGGTTTATAAATTGTAACGATGTGTATAAATTATAAAGTATGAACTAGAATCAAAAACATGTGTTCAATTGCGTGACTTTGTCATTATCTTTCTTAAACTAAATACATTAACCGTGGTTAATTATTATCTATACTTAATCTTTTCAAGCTTTTCTGTAAGTATATATGTGGAATGATTCATTTGGAAAGCCGCAGTGAAATCTTTAAATAAACTATATTTTTCTTTGAAACAAACAAGAGCAATTTTCATTGTCCTTTCTTTCCATAGACTATCTTAGGATAACAAAATAAAACTTCTAGCTCGTTATTAAATTAAATCCTTTTTTCCACATGGCCGTCCTGATTAGTCATCTGTCTCAGATGAATCTCCGTCCCCTGTGGCCTTATAGGGCCTTCAGAGGTTTCAGCCTTTTTAACAGCGTACCTGTCATTCCGTTTCTTCTCAATTATTTTATATGGGCCAAGATATTTAGGGTAAAGTTTATTTCCCTGAGAGAACTGAGTCTTCTTGATTGCTACCAAATCTAGAGGCGAGCTGGCGAGCCGTGCGTGCAGCCGCGCGGTGTCGCCGTCTCACCGCTAGCTAACGTAATAATAAAACAAGGTTTTTTCATTTCTGTCTCATCGTTAACGACTCTTCCAGACTCGTGACGCTAATATATTTGTCACCCCGCGTCGTATTGCCACGACGCGCGACATCGCTTGCTCGTCGTCACGCACGCGACGCAGGCGGCTTACCTTCCACGCCACGACGGCAATTAAAATACATACAAACAAGTTGCTGAATTCAAACAAGTTGAAGAAATTGTTTTCACTTTGATATAGTATGTATTTTTGAGTGTATATTTTAGTAGTATTTGTACATAAAGTATTATTGTTGTACACATGACGACCATATTTCCTGAATCCTAATCGCTGGCTCCATTAAAAGGTATAGATAATTGATAAGAAATCGATTTTAGCAATAAAATCACTTTGTTGTACATTATTTATTTATTTACACTTTTGCACATACATCTGTGTACAAGGTGGACTTAATGCCACAGGCATTCTCTCCCAGTCGAACCTTTGGGCGATGCAGAGATATTAGTGATAAATATATATTTTATACACTTACTTACATAAATCCTATTAGAATAAATAATATTATTATAAATTATATTATATCTCAAACTTTCTTGTATACATCCTATCAAACTCTAAAAAGGCCCCGAATAGGCAGGGTCCGAAAAAGTAGGTACAGGAGCGACAAGGGTGGTTTCATCAAGGTTGAGAAGAGCAAGAAGAAGAAGCCTCCTTGTCGGAACCAGTGCGGTACTGCGCTGGCAGGACCCACAACACTGCTCTACGTGTCCAGATTGCACCACTCTACGAAGGTTGAGGAGATCGTGGAGTACGTGTGCGTCAAGACCAACTGGACCTTGAGGGTCGAGAGGTTGGAGCCGCGTCACAACACGAACTTCAAGTCGTTCGTGGTGCGAAAATATTAGTAAATGATAATATATTACTAGCACATTATTATCGTGGCATACATAGATACAAATAGCGATAATATATCGTTTATGATTTCCTGTATTAAACTGTAATACAACCGAATGTCTTCAAATTGCCCCTTACTATCTTTCTACTATAATCACACTGCGCATTTTCCAAACGCTGACTCTGACTACCCGACTGCGTCACGTGGTTGGTCAAAAAAAAATCAAAATTATTTATTTCAATTAGACCACAGTAGGCACTTTTGAACGTCAAGCAAAAAAAAGGAAAAAGAGCTTTAACTTTAAGCGTGTCAGTCTGTCCGTCTGTCCTCTAGTGAAGCTATTTGCTCGTTTCAAAGTCTAGATTCCTATAGAGAAGAACGAGCAAGAAACTCCATGGTTACTCTTTTTCAATCAGTTTTACAATACATTTCTTTGTTACATCATTTAGTTGGTAATGTTTATCATTTTTTCTTTTAAGAAAATCGTTACCCCACACTATAATTTTCTCCAATACCGTGGGTGTGTTTACAAACATACACATTACACCCAGACCTGGAACAACTTTTACTATTAGATACACAAAGAGTTGTTCCATGCGGGTATCGAACCCGTAACAGGTTTCACAGCAGCCAGTTGCCCAGCCACTGCCCCAACCGCGCAGTCAAATGTTTTATAGTCGAAGCTGAAATAAGGCAGCAGATGATATTCAAATAATAAATATCTATTGCAGGTTTGTTGGACACCCACGGCCCGTGTTTTGTGCTTTCAGCAAGATAATGAACGTGCACCATCTGCAGTCAACAGCAAGGGCGGTGATGGGGGGGGGATTGTCTCATTGTCCGAGTAATTGTCTAGCTGCCGGCTGTGTGCGTGACGGCGCGCGCTACATACACTGTGGCCGTCGCCGCGTACTTTTAGGTCCGAAACTCCCCACTCAATGCATACCATTGAGCCACTTTTTGTGTTTCGAATAAGATTCAAAATTCAAAACCTGACTCGATGGTTTAAACCTAGACTAATGTGATCCCCAAAGGTTGAAAGTAAAAGAAAAATCATAGTAACAGTAACTTTATTATAATATGATACATACATTACAATAGGCTCATGTAGACAGCAGTGCCGCTACGCTGTGAGCACAAACAGCGGCGAAACGCGCGCGGAGTGAGTACACGAGCCCTCACACGTTACATGTGGGTAGAATGTGAGGTATCTTTGATGGAGTGCATAGTGTAAAGTAGTAACGAGATACTAGTGTCCACATACCGGCCGCACGCATCATTACACAATGTCACCGTGTGCATCAAATGACAGCTTGCTTTACGTGGATGGTCAATCAAATACATCTGTGTGTCTATTCACATTTGTAACCCGCCAATGGGCCGCCATACACTTGTATCAGAATACTCAGTAGTGTGACAAAGGTGACGTATTTATATAACCGTGTTTCCCTTCTGAACAAGTTTGTCGATGTACGCAGTAACAGTCTGTATGTCGACGCGCGACGCCAAGCTGCGACTGTCTGATCCACTCGTCCTGGCAGACGCAGTCACATTGGTCCCAAGTACTGCGCTCTACTTTCCTGTGTACACTAACGTGTGTTTAGGTCGCTATATCCTCTCATTCCGACTCAAACCTCATAGTATTTATAAGTAATATTTTTAGACTATATATTTAGTAGTACATTTTGTCACAGCACTTCTTTGATAGCAATATGTAGGTCATACCTTTCTCTCGCAACAAGTGGTAAAAAGATTAAAAGTCTGTTAGTATTATTGTATAAGGCCAGCGCGTACAGCAGCAGTGTGCGCGTGCTACGTGTGTGGGTGCGGCAGGTGCGCGTCGCGTATCTGTCGCGCGAGCCAGGCGACTCCGTCCGCCAGCCCCGCGCCCGACAGCGCGCACGACGCGCAGATGTGCCACGGCTTGTCCGTGATGCGCTCCAGCCCCAGCGCTGCAACAGTGGGCCGGTGAGTGGGGGGCGCGGGGGGGGGGGGGGGCGCCGGGTGGGGGGGCGTGTACGTACCGGCGGCGACCTGGGCGGGCGCGAGCGCGTGCGGCGCGTCGCTCTTGTTGGCGAAGACGAGCAGCGGCAGGCGGCGGCCGCACGTGTCCGGGTGCGACAGCAACAACTCCAGCTCCTCGCGGGCCACCACTACACACACACACACACTAGTCGCAGCACTAGCATTACATTACTCAAGTTTATACATCCATCTTTGTTGCAGTTATTGAACACTTAGTGACTCATGAAACATTCTAAACTTATTAAGAATAATGGCCGATCATGAATCAGGTTCCCTTTGTGACTTGATATTAGTAGAACATTTATCAGATAATTCACATAAGTAAGTCGTTATTCTCAATAGGTAAACCTTTGTTGCAAGTAATGACCTTACATAGAATAGTAAACATATCGACCAAGTGCGAGACTCCACCATGAAGGATTCCTTAGCAGCTAGTAAAATAATTTAAACTCCAGAGTTTATTAAAATTATTTGTAAGAGACATAATGCAGTTCACAGAGTACATCTTCGTACCATGTTAAAACAGAAACCATATTTTTGTTTCGGAAGGAAATGCCCGTGATATACTGCCGGCAGAGATGTCTAACTAACCCATAAAGGTCTTGTTTTTGCTATTTGGATCATCACATCAACCCATAAGTGGCCGCTGCTGAGCATAGACCTCTTCTCAAACAAATCAGGTTTGAACATTAATCACCACGTTTGCTCAATGCGGATTAGCGATTTCAAACTGATAATTAGAAATTATAAGTCTAGGTTTCCTCATGATAATCATAAAAAGTAGTAGCGCCTTAACCTCCTAGCCACCAACAACTTACACATAGACACAGGACTCTAATAAAAATTAAGATGTAAAAAGTAGCACGAAATGACCGACTCGTGCGGTTGGCCGATGTTTACTTTACTTTAAGTCTTTGGCAAACACTCAAATATTTATCGAGTGCTTGCAGGACGTGTGTGCCCACTGGCCAGTACACACGTATTGCAGCGCGGTGTCACCGGCTCACCTCGCGCGCTCACCTGTCAATGTCGTTGTTGACTAATGCTGGCAAATAGTCGTCGTCACTATATTTTTGACTAGGCGGCTCTTTGTAAAGTACGCGGTTATAACAAAAACGTAAACCTGCTAGCCAAAGATCTAGCCTTGTCTATGACGTATTCAGGACCTACTGCCATATTTTGATGTTTTTAAATGACCTATTTACGGTTTTGTCGGAAAAAATAATGACGTGTTTAAATATAAGATTAGATGAACATATTGTCTGGACAGTTATATAGTACTGCACCGATCTCACCAAAGCACTTGAATCAGCGAGCAAGGTAGTGCGGGTGTGACTGACCGAGGCGCAAGTGGTCGGCGGCGTCCACCACGAAGATGAGCGCGTGCGCGCGACGGTAGTGGCGCTCCCACAGCGCGCGGTGCCGCGCCGCGCCCGACACGTCCCACGCGCTGAACGACACGCCGCCGCCTGCAACACCGCGCCCCGTACTGTTACTGCCATACTGTTACTGTCATACTGTCACAGCGCGCGGTGCCGCGCCGCGCCCGACACGTCCCACGCGCTGAACGACACGCCGCCGCCTGCAACACCGCGCCCCGTACTGTTACTGCCATACTGTTACTGTCATACTGTCACAGCGCGCGGTGCCGCGCCGCGCCCGACACGTCCCACGCGCTGAACGACACGCCGCCGCCTGCAACACCGCGCCCCGTACTGTTACTGCCATACTGTTACTGCCATACTGTCACAGCGCGCGGTGCCGCGCCGCGCCCGACACGTCCCACGCGCTGAACGACACGCCGCCGCCTGCAACACCGCGCCCCGTACTGTTACTGCCATACTGTTACTGTCATACTGTCACAGCGCGCGGTGCCGCGCCGCGCCCGACACGTCCCACGCGCTGAACGACACGCCGCCGCCTGCAACACCGCGCCCCGTACTGTTACTGCCATACTGTTACTGTCATACTGTCACAGCGCGCGGTGCCGCGCCGCGCCCGACACGTCCCACGCGCTGAACGACACGCCGCCGCCTGCAACACCGCGCCCCGTACTGTTACTGCCATACTGTTATTGCCATACTGTCACAGCGCGCGGTGCCGCGCCGCGCCCGACACGTCCCACGCGCTGAACGACACGCCGCCGCCTGCAACACCGCGCCCCGTACTGTTACTGCCATACTGTTACTGTCATACTGTCACAGCGCGCGGTGCCGCGCCGCGCCCGACACGTCCCACGCGCTGAACGACACGCCGCCGCCTGCAACACCGCGCCCCGTACTGTTACTGCCATACTGTTACTGTCATACTGTCACAGCGCGCGGTGCCGCGCCGCGCCCGACACGTCCCACGCGCTGAACGACACGCCGCCGCCTGCAACACCGCGCCCCGTACTGTTACTGCCATACTGTTACTGTCATACTGTCACAGCGCGCGGTGCCGCGCCGCGCCCGACACGTCCCACGCGCTGAACGACACGCCGCCGCCTGCAACACCGCGCCCCGTACTGTTACTGCCATACTGTTACTGTCATACTGTCACAGCGCGCGGTGCCGCGCCGCGCCCGACACGTCCCACGCGCTGAACGACACGCCGCCGCCTGCAACACCGCGCCCCGTACTGTTACTGCCATACTGTTACTGCCATACTGTCACAGCGCGCGGTGCCGCGCCGCGCCCGACACGTCCCACGCGCTGAACGACACGCCGCCGCCTGCAACACCGCGCCCCGTACTGTTACTGCCATACTGTTACTGTCATACTGTCACAGCGCGCGGTGCCGCGCCGCGCCCGACACGTCCCACGCACTGAACGACACGCCGCCGCCTGCAACACCGCGCCCCGTACTGTTACTGCCATACTGTTACTGTCATACTGTCACAGCGCGCGGTGCCGCGCCGCGCCCGACACGTCCCACGCGCTGAACGACACGCCGCCGCCTGCAACACCGCGCCCCGTACTGTTACTGCCATACTGTTACTGCCATACTGTCACAGCGCGCGGTGCCGCGCCGCGCCCGACACGTCCCACGCGCTGAACGACACGCCGCCGCCTGCAACACCGCGCCCCGTACTGTTACTGCCATACTGTTACTGTCATACTGTCACAGCGCGCGGTGCCGCGCCGCGCCCGACACGTCCCACGCACTGAACGACACGCCGCCGCCTGCAACACCGCGCCCCGTACTGTTACTGCCATACTGTTACTGTCATACTGTCACATTTTCACACTGTCACGCTGTCACATTGTCCATAGTCACACTGGTATAAACTGGCCTGTGCCACTGCCCCCGCTAATAGCAGTACGTACTGGTGAAGTGGTCCTGCGCGTGTCCCACAGTAGGCGCAGCATGCGGCGCGGGCTGGCGCGGGTCGGGCGGGCGCAGCGCGGCCAGCAGCGTGCTCTTGCCGCTGTTGTCCAGCCCCAGCACCAGCACCGTCACCTCGGTCCGCCCGCGCCCCAGCCACACCGACAGCTTGTCCAGCAGGCCCATGCTGCCCGCACTGGAACCGACCGCCACTTACTTTATCTTCATACATTTTATATTAAAGACGACATTTAAATTAAGTTTTAGTTTATCGGTATCCTACAATTAAAACTCGTTATTATTACAGTTACACGTTACAGTTACTTACAATAGGCACTCATGATAACATATTTTTTTCAAAACCTAATGCAAATTACCTTCTAGCACTACTAACTGGTCGCATTCCATGATGACGTTTCCAGTCAATCTTTCAAACATCACTGTGTCCTGATTCACTTGTGGCCAGTGCACGACCAGGTTACTACACTAACGTGAACAAACGCCCGGAGTCACGCAGTAGTCATATCGAATATATTAATACCTTTGAAATCCTCAGTAGCGTAGAGAGATGCGCTCCGTCTCACTCACGGAGCGAGCCCCCAACATATGCAGTTGCACAGAGTGCAGTCTGTGCAATCTGTGCAGACTGTGCAGACTGTGTAGGCTGTGCAGACAGAACGACACGGGACGGCAGCGGACAGAGTGCGGGTTGGCATGGCGACGCGGCACACAACAGTCGCGGCATCGATTGGCGGCGCGCCGTCAGTGTCGCCGCGCGCTGTCACGGCCCGCCATTACCCGACACTGTGTGCTCGCTCACTGTACCGACCACACAGCGCGCCGCCTTGTATCATGCAGTACTCACACTCGGATAGACTCCGTGTCTCACAGACCCATCCCACTGGCTACACTCACGACGGTGTATCTATTTCGATACTTTAGGAATGTGGATAATAATGTTGAATATATAGTTCTCCAGCAACACCAGTGCTCACTGCTGCTCACACATATAAATAAGTAATCAAATAAAAACTCCCTACAAATGAGAATAACGTGCTATAGTTAACCAGCGGCCCAGAAAGTTCTGAATTTTTTTCGGGTAATCTCTAACTTTATAGTTAACTCACTAACTTAATACTTAAGGCACTAGTATTCATAGGGCTCAGCGGTGGAAGGGTTCTCTCTAGACCCTTGCCATAATCAAAATGATAAAAATCCGACGAATTATCTTTGATGAAATTATAAGACAACCTACTAGCTACACATAAAAAGGAATAATTACGATAGAAAGAGACACAATGCTACGGGATAAACCCGAGCAAAAAATAAAAATCTAAAATTAGAAATTAAACAACAAATGTTTTAAACAATATCAATTTATTGTTTAAAACTACACAAAAAACAAAAACAAGGCGTGGGTTCTACGCCTACTTGGTGGCACTGTCACTGATGAGCGTTTACAATAAATAGAAATGTGGGTATATACGAGACGTGGTTGGCGGTGTTGGTGGTGGCCACTTAACTAAAGGCGAGGCATGAGGAAGAGGCGCATGCCGGTGCCGCTATCCCAGTCCGGGTACGACGCGGCGGCCACAGCGCACTGGCACGGGGCCAGGCCCTTGACGCTCGCCATCTCCAGGTTTCCACTACACACGGGGTTCCTCAACTCCGTACATGGCTCTTAAATTCGACAGAGCCTTTCAACTCCGTCCGTGGTTGCTGAGCTCGACGGGGTTTTTTAACTCCGTACAAAGTTCCTAGTTACGAGATCTTTCAACTCCTTCCGTGGTTCCCTATGCAGGGAACCACGGAAACACTGAATTTAAATTATTAAGCCTAAAATTGGCTTCTGCGAAAATTATGCAACACAGTACGTTTGTAGGTCGGCGATCAGGATTCCAGAAGAAAGGGAAAATTCTCCTCGAACCCGCCTTATAAGAAATTTGCATTTCATAGACAAGTATAGTAGGCAGAGACACATATCTACTTCTTTTTAATTATCTGACCTCAAGGCTAACTGTCCGCGGGCGATTATCCATTAATAAATAAAATTAAAACGATTACCCGCTATTATTGACAAAATTATTTCATCTAACGCACATTGATTTTATTATCGATTGGGTGAATCTATAATCTGTGAAATGACAACTGACGTTGACATTTCACGACAAGCGTAACGTCACTTTGATGTGAGGTTTGACACTTTGCAAAAACAACAAACACAACATTATTGTGAATTTAAACAAATAAAATTACATCCAATTATGTTATTTGGAATGCTAAACGGAATGAATATCAACTGAATTAAGGTAGGTCCCAAATCTAAGGTTTACAACGTTACAACAAGTTGAAAAGAGAGAGAGTAAATAAAACATAGCAATTCATATTAATTTTACACATTTATTCAGCACCGCCGCGCTCGCAACACTAGTCAGTACGACCGCCTGCTAGTGCTGGCCGGCCCACGGATACTTACAGTACACTAACTAATCAGTCACTACATACTTTAATGTTCGTTGAAGTAACAGCACGAGTGTCCTGTGCAGGCGGAGTGTTGCCATGTCACATTGCAGTAGGCACTGTCTCCTTGGAGCACGCGACCGAGTCGAGGGTAGCGCTGGGCGCCGGCTGCCGGCAGACCGCGGCGTATATCTGCTGCGGCGAGCGGGCGCGCGTCTCCGGCAGCGCCAGCGCCGCCAGCGCAGCCAGCGCCAGCGTCAGCGCCGCGGCCAGCGCCAGCGCCGCCGCCAGCCCCGCGCCGCGCGCCACCAGCGGGAACAGCACCACCTCGACGGCGTTGGCCGCCCAGGCCGCGACGCTGACGAGCGCCACCGCGCAGCCGCGGAACTCGTACTCGAAGGCGTCGGCCAGCATGGCGTAGGGCGCCGGCTGCAGCCCCGCCGAGTCCGCGAACACGGCGCCGGCCAGCGCGCCCCCCGCCACCGCGCCCCCCGCGCCCCCCCAAACCGCGGCCGCGCCCCCGCACAGGCACGCGCCCGTCGCCACCCCGCACCACACCATCAGCTTCTGCACAACTCATCCTTTATCAGACCACTATCTTCCTTATATACAAATTAATCCCACTTTCCGTTGTCACGCCATAACATGAGAGCGGCTGAGACTAATGTAAGTAGCCGTTTATTTTTGCAAATCTAACTGCTGAGCAAAGTGAAGCGCAAAATGGACTACCTAGAGCGCGCGTGTAAAGTCCTTCTCAGTTACAGCGAGACTAGGGTAATAAGGATTCAATTTTATATGGAGGATATTATAGATTGCAATTCAAATAGAATAGGTCCTTGTACCTAAGATGAGACAACTGTCATGTACCTATACTAAATCAAATACCGCAGTGCATCAAAGCTACACTACAGCGGTACGAAGTATTGCCAGGACAGCTAGTCTCCAGTAACTAAGTCCAGCACGTTACGGACAACACAGAGTGTGCGAACCTTTCTGCCGACTTTCTCGATGAGGTACAGCGCCAGCAGCGAAGCTAGGAGCTGCGCCGCGCCGAGCAGGACGGCGTGGCGCGCGGGGCTGGCGAGCTGGGCGCCGGCGAGCTGGGCGCCGGCGAGGTCGCCGGGCGCCTGGTCCCGCGCCAGCACGAAGACGCGCTCTGCGTACTGCAGCAGCGCGAGCACGCCGCACGCCTCCTGCCCCACCACCGCCGCCAGCAGCAGACAGAACGTGCGTCGCCGCCCGGGCTCGCTCACTGCGGTACCGTGCCGGCATTCTAGTATATATACGTACCTCATATTGTGGCCATTAACTTAACTTCCACCAGTACATGGAAATATTATATTAGTGATATTGTAAAACAAATATTACTCTAGAGTTTGTTCTCCATTCGAATCTACAATTTGGAGCAACGAGCACCTAGCTTCACTGACGAACAGACTGACAGACAACTATTCTATTTTGACGTTTCAAATGTAGGTAACTTTTTATGGTTAAGTTGGAATAAATGATTTTGATTTTGACGCTCGCCTGCAGGATTATTGTGAAACACCCGACGTAACTAAACCGATCCAACCCCGGCCCGTGTCCTCCCTGAGATCGATGATCATGCAACGACTCGTTTACAGCTATCATCTGCTCCTATGTGTAACTGCTACACACACAGTTTTGAGATTTGCTTCATTGAAAAGGTTATAAGTTGTAGGTAGCCCATTATTTCTATTTATTGCGCACACACAACAACAAGAGCTGGAACGGTACTCACAGAATCGTTTAGTGATGCTGTATGCTGAGGCGAGCTGATGGTCAGGCGGCGGCAGCGCGGCCAGCTCCTGGTGCAGCGCCGCCGCGTCCGCCGGCAGACCGCGCAGCCACGCCAGCGACGCGCGCGCCTCCTGTACACTCCGACACGTCACGCCGTGCCACGTCACGCCGTGTCACGTCATGCCGTGTCACGCCACGCCGTGTCACGTCATGCCGTGTCACGTTGGCCGGCAATACTCACGTCAGCCCTGCCGGCGGCAGCCAGGAACGCGGGTGACTCCGGCACCAGCAGGTACAGCACGCAATGCGCCGCGGACAGCGCCAGGCAGCTCCACAGCAGCGCACTGAAACACCGCGCCATCAGCTGTAGGTACATCACATACAGCCCCGGCAGCGCGTAGAGCGGCGGCTGGCGGCTGGCGGCGGTACCTGTGCGGGAGCCCGGCGTCGGCGGCCGCGTACATGAGCAGCGCGCCCGCGTTGTGCGCCGCCACCAGCGCCGCCGACGCCGCGCCGCGCGCCTCCGCTGCACACATCTGCACACACACACGCACACGTCATACACTACCGCGCCCCCCGCCCCCACCACACACACACACACCATACAGACCTCGTTCGCCAGCAGCGGCGCCAGGCACCAGGCCCCCGCGCCCCCCACGCCGGCGCAGGCGCGCGCTGCCACCACCCACCAGCCGCCCCCGCACAGCTTCAGACCCCAGCAAGCCTGCGGAAGGTGCGACATCTATTGCAACATTGATACACATTTATCTATTTCCTGTTGATCGTGTTATAATGTAACACTACGTCGTACCGGGTAGGAGGCAAGTTGTTGTTGACAATATTCATAAGTACATCGTTACAACTGAAGCTAAGCATGTATCGTGGAGTCCCATGACTCACCACAAAAGCAGCGGAGGTGGCGATGACGGCTGGCTTCCTGCCACCAGCGAGAGCGCGCGCGCAGAGCGGCACCCCCACCAGTGAGGCCAGGTACGTAGTGCCCGCCGCCGCTACCGCCTGCGCCTCGTCCAACGCGCCGCCAGCGCCACTCTCGCCGCTGGCCAGCGACACCCAGCCCACCGCCAGCCCGAAGGACATCGCCGGCACGTTGACTGCAACGACCATGGCTTGACTTTAGTTAGGTGCAGCAGGATTTGAGGTGTAAATAGGGTCAATGCTTGCAGGGCTTGGGTTGGCTGGCAACGTGAAGCGGAACATTTTATTTGTAGTAAGGATGAAAAAATGTATTTCAAGTAAAACTTTTAAGAGTAACCACTATATAACTTCTCCATTCGAGTCTATACTATGGGACGAGCACCATGGTTTAGTTGGAAGAAATGCTTTTGACTTTGACTTTGAGGAGCATTAGGTTAGCTTTTATAAGCGCGGAGTCCCCCGGGGCAGCGACAGCGGGCCGGCCTCCGCGCGTGATGCAACTCCACATACATTGCACACAACATTGGCACACAGCGCCCAGTGACGCAGCGCCGGTCACTCCACTCGCTGTTTGCACAGTTTAGCAAGATCTGTGCAGCTGCACCGCCGCCGCGCCTCACTACCGTGACGTGCCACAGGCTGCCTCACTGACACTCAGTGTTAGACTCGTACTTCTTCTCCAGGCCGTGGTCGGTCCACCTTATAGTGCTTGCCTTACAAATACACAATATGCGACATGTGTACTGTGTCTGGACCAGATATGTTACCGCCACCTCTCCCTCATGTTCAAACTCAGCCGACGACGTTCAAAACAAGTACTACGTCTGAAAAGGGTTCCGTATGAAGGAGACAAACAGTCAGCCATTCCAACTCACAATATTCACGAAGAAGTGGCTCACTAGTTTGACAACGCTTACAATACTTTTGCTTTTACGTTACTATTACTTTTGCTGTTACGTTATTGGTGCAAGTAACCTGTTGACACCAGTTTTATTTCAGAAAATGTTAAGTAAGTTAGTGTGAGGCCACACTGGCTGCACTTACTCAGCACCACCATCAGCGCCTGCCGCAAGTAGCTGCGCACGCGACTCGTCGCCGCGCCCGGCGTCGCGTACAGTTCCACCGCCTTCACTGTCATGGCTATGCCAGCATTGATACTCGACTGCCACACGACTGTGCGTACACGGACCGACGGACTGAACTACATCAGTGTATGTGGCAATGTTCCACCGAGCGGCGCGACCCGCCTGCTTCCTCGTCCGCGCGACTGTGCGCACTCTGCGGCGCTACCCTCTCTAATAAACCACGAGATGACGTGATCACGGCGCGGAGTCGAGCGGACGCTTTGTTCTACTACTTCTATCAATGCGGATTTGGGGTTCACTCTAAGACAAACTTGGCAGAATCTGTATTCTGTATGGAATGCCACTCCCCACAATCCACTAAAAGTTACCATTATAGAATAGACAAGACAGTGTCCGATCTATGGAGTCTCGCATGCCACGTTGTCATTCTGTATTTGTTGATTGCAACCAACAAGACAGACACGACACGAGCCCATTTTACACACGTACATAATGCTTTATTATATTTGCCAGATCTGGACATCCTAGTGTCAACACATTGCGCAGTAAGTACTCGACTGTCCATCTAGGTACTGACTTGCAGTGTCAACAATATCGTCCCGTCAACTTTGCCTGTAAAATCGGAATACAGAGAGTTTTCAATCTAGTCCACTTTACAGAATTCTCAAGTTTCATCATGGCGTAAGTTCCGCAAATGTTGGCGGGGCTGCCCAATCCGTAACTAATGCTTTGGTCGGCTCGTTGTGCAAGTGTGTGGACTCCCAGTCATTGCACGGAACCAGGAGCTGGTCGGTACACACACCAGGCTCTACCCTGTTACGTGGGTCTTACAACATGTTTCGGCAACAGAAGGTTGCATTCATTGTGTATTAATGTGTAACAACCCAACCAAGGTGGCGAGGCACGTCTGCACGCCGACGTAAACATAAAACATATTAATATTAACGTTTTGCCTACACATTAATATTAATACAAAAATATTGTCATTGTTAGATCGTGTTCTGAATTCTGTTCCTCAAATCTAGCAAGCGGTTGCCTGCAGTGGCCTTGCGGAGCGTCCCTGTGCACAGAGTGGGGACTGCCGGGAGCACCACGACGCATTAATGTCCCGGTGTAACAGACGCAGGCAGCAGTACTTGTGCAGTGGTGGAGGTGGCAGGTCGAAGGCCCTATGCGCTAAACATATTATTATACAGTAGGGCAACACGTTAGTACAAAGAACATTAGTGTTATTTATTTTATCATTTCTTCGACAGTGTATGATAATATGTTTATAAGAAAACCTATGGATCTCACGAAGAATTGTTCCGTTCGGGAATCAAACCAGCGATACTTACTTACTTATGATTTTTTTGTGTGAAATTATGAGTGACTATAGTATAGTTTGCATGTTAATTATAGGAATAATCATTAGTTTAGAAAACTAGAACTAGTCTGTAGAGTCTCGAATATAAAAAATGCGTGGTAATGCAGAGACAGGAAGAGGCTAGTGAGAATGCATCTCGCTGCTACATCTGTGGCCATCTTATTTCTTCAGCATCCTTCAGCATCTAACCACGCGGGACGCTAGGATACTCGGCCAGTGCATAAGGAAACAGGTAAATGTAAGTTGCGCGCTGGTAATTTGACTATGAGACATTCCCTATGTGTCCACTTTACACACAATACACTGAACTATATAATCCACGCAACTTGTGAACAGATCGTGCCGCGCATGCGCGACATGCGACATAATGTTCTCATCTCGATGCGGAGCACGCGCAGGGGAAGTGCGCAGACTGCGCTACGCGGCGCCACGTCGGCTGCTGCATCCAAACAGTAATATAATGCTGCATCGCGCCGGTACCCAGGTTAGACCTCGTGTTATTTAATGATTTCTTGGGAAGTTTACACATTCGTATTTTTTTAAATATGAACGAATTTTTTATTTTTGTATAGAAAACCCCGGATCTCTTTATTAAGTAAGAAAAATACTGTAATACGTAGAAATAGTAGATTTCCTAATAAAATATATTTACCGATCCAGCGCACAACACTAATAGTAGACTAGAAACCCATATTGTATGGCTACCAAAATTCACAATAAACTTCCAAACGACCTTCTAAGCATAATGTCTTTTAATATTAGAGTTTTTGATGAATACTATAAGTAGATATTAAGCCAAACACTTAGCAGGTACACCAATACCGTAGAATGTGTGAGATTCCTCTTAACATAAAACACCTATAAGAAAATACGTAACCTAATATCATTTTTAAGAAACAGTTATAGAAAAACTTTTTTCTTAACCTTCTTCGTTTTGAATACCCTGATAATATGATGCCTCCGTTGATCTGGCGGCAGTGCCCCTGCCAAGTCTCGAGCAAAAGCGATTCGCGGCTATTTTACCACCCTTGCACCATCAATACGGAGAAAGCTTGAGATTTGCGTTTCGATGGCTTAGAGTACGTGTTAAAACAAGCTCAGCCTAAAAATTACAAGACATTGAACTAATACTTAGTTAAAAAGTTATGGGCCATCAAATTAAGTTACACCATTATGTCACTCACTGACAGATCATCAAAAATCTAAGGTACTTCTCAAAATTAGAACTTTCCAAGATAAAGTTTTAGGTACATGTAAAGGGAAAATTATAAAAATGGTAATAAATTATTCATACTTTAGGAAACAAACTTATATTTGCGGTTTTCGAAGAACGTAATGCATGAATATTGACTGCATTGTTAACTTTGTTCTTTGTGTATGTACAAAAAGTAAAACAAATTATTAATTTAATTAATATATTGTGATCAAGTATTGAATATATATATATGTAGCGACATCAATCGCACAACAAGAACAATAGCACCAATCACGTACAAGAATCTACATCGCGCTATAAAAGTTCTCATTGCAATTAGAACATATACAAAAATCCCGACAACAACAGTCGGGCAGTAGCCCGCCAGGCACGAACACCTCGCCTGGTCGGAGGATCCTCCCTTTTCAACGGAGGATGAGGAACTTTCCACCCTGTTCCTCATACCTCTAAAATATTTTTTACATTTTCAGATGACGGATATCAGGATAGTAGTATTTTTGATAGACTTAGCGATTCTGGCTGTAACTAAAGTGGATGATATTACGAAATCAGGTGGGTTTACCACAATTCACTTGTTGTGCATATATGCATATACACATACACACAACATGCACACACAGAACAACATAGAAATGAACTTACTTTTTATTCCTCACTGTCCACTTTCTTCTTCCAACCAGATGTTGAATCTCCAGCTGCCCCTCCGTACTCTCCATTGACACCACTTTGCGCAAAACCATAGCAGAAACAAGTAAGTCAAAAAAACTAATTCCTATTTGATTTTCTTCTTAACTCCACCTTGTAAGAAAATGAGCAAGCTGACTGCTATGATTCTTATACGCTATTCTACTGGTTTGATCAGGTCTTGACTAACCAGCTGCTCCTGCATATTCTCCACTAACTCCTCTTGCTACGCGGAAAGAAACTGAAAAAAATAACTCACCAATACCACCAATGTCACCGAGTACATTAGAGTTATTCGAAACCCTCAGTCAAGATTTCTCTACAGTTGATCATGCGTATATGGACCTTAAAGAAGATGGAGACTATGACGATGATACAGAATCTGATTATGTACCTGACAGTGGAGAAGAAACTGATTCTTCCTATTCATCTGTAAAACAAAAAAGAAGGAAGAGCGTTGAAATTCCCGAAAGTGACAGTTCGGAAAATGAAACTGCAACAGAGGGTTTGATTCAAACTCATGTTGCTATGGTGCACGATAATCAGAGTAAAACTGACAGAACCACACAAATGCGACATGACGATGAAAACCATTTTATTGTTACAAATGCTGTTTACGATGACATAACAGTTGGTGATCTAATTTCAATTCGTCAAAGCTCTGATACTGAAGTTCAACCCGATTCTGAAGTCGCCCATCCTATTACTGAAAATAATCTAAGGGCCGCTCCAAATGTGGACGCAAAAGAAAACATCCAGAATATTGTATCCCTGAGAAGAAGGGTAGGAAATACATGAACTTACCATATCATGTCAAAGACAAACTAGTAAAAAATACTAGTAAATCAAAAGTATTCTGTGATCATACATGCACTTGCAAGCAACGTTGTCATTTACTTGTTCCAACCGAAACACGACAACAAGAGTTTGATAGGTTTATAACATTGGGGTCTTATGAAGCTCAGCTGTTATTTATTTTGAATAATGTCAAAGAATCTGAAAAAGCTCGATCATATATATTTCAACCAAGAGCAAAACCGGCAAGAAGAAACCTCGACAGTATCGAAGAAACTACTGTATTGGCGAGAACGTCGTCTGCAAGCAAATGTTTTTGAAAAATTTTCAAATATCGTCTAAAAGAGTTGACATATGTTTGACCAAAAAGCGAACAGATGAAACTTTCAACGACAAAAGGGGCTTAAAACAAGGTGGTTGGAACAAGACTCCTGAAAAAGACATCGATTTTGTCAAAAATATCATTAATTCCCTCCCAAAATACGAATCTCATTACAGAAGAGAACGAAACAATGGCGCGCAATATTTAAAACTAGGTATGACTATCCAAAAAATTTACGACATCTACCTTGCAGAATTCAAAAAAGTGTACGGCAGCGAGAAGAAATTCGTCTCTTTTGCTACCCTGAAGCATATATTTTATACGAATTTCAATCTCCGTTGTAAACCGTTAAAAAGATACATGCAAGAAATGTGATTTATTAGCCCTAGAGATCAAGAAGTGTTGTGTACCAGAAGAAAAAGAACAGTTAATTCTACAAAGAGATTTACATCAAATGAGAGCGGAAGAATTACGTAAGCAAATGTCTGAAGACATGGCTCGGGCTAAAACAGATCCCAAATTTAAATGTCTTACCTACGATCTAGAGAAAACGCTGCCATTACCCCGAATACCGACTAACATAGTGTTTTACAAACGTCAGCTTTGGGTATACAACGCTGGGATTCACGTTGGCTCTAACGACCAAGGACGATGTAACATCTGGGTTGAAGGTGAAGCCGGACGAGGAGCCCAAGAAGTTGGCTCGTGCCTCATTAATTTCATAAAAAAAGATATGAGAGATGGCGTAGAGAATTTAGTCCTTTGGAGCGATTGTTGCGGAGGACAAAATAGAAATATTAAAATAATCATGATGCTGAAAACTGAACTCAATAGCCATCCAAATCTTGAAACGATAACTTTCAAATATTTAGAGTCCGGCCATTCTTTTTTGCCTAATGACACTGACTTTAGCAAAATTGAATGTGAGCAGCATCATGAGCGCATTTACACCGCAGAAGAATACATGAATATCATGAAAATCTGTAAAAAGAAAAATCCCCTTCAGGTCATCAGAATGAAAAAAAACATTTTTGAAGCACAAAACACATTGAAAAATGAATAGCAAAATATGTACAAATAAAAATAAAGTAAACTGGTTGAAAACTAAACAAATTTTATTGAAAAAAGAAGATCCATATTTAATTACGATGACGTTAGAAAGTGGTTAAATTCAAAACATGGATGTGTCGAAAAAAAGTAAAGGGATTTCTATCCAATTTTCAGAAGAAGATTTGACGTTCTTTGGCCCCAGGGCAAAGCCATTCCTCAAGCTAAGCTCGAATATCTTAGATCTATGTATTCTTTAATACCCGAAGACTGTCACGCATTTTATGATAGCCTTAAAGGAAACAGCTGTATCAGTGAGTATGTTGATGGATGTGGGCCATCTCTTGATTTCGACCTGGAGGAAGACAGTTGATTGATCAACTTTTGAACTGTTTTTTTCTATTTTTTTTTAAAGTTTGTGATGACATTTTTACCTAATTAGGTTAGATTTATGATTAAGCTCAATTTAATATACAACTCTTTTATTATAACACTTGTTTTATTTTTTTATTTCATTATTTTCTAGTCAATGGGTAGTTTTGAGTCCATTCTGAGAAATACAAAAAAAGATATCAGTCTTTCAAACATAAGTTTATTTGTAAGGACTCAATCCACATTTTACTAATTATTTCTAAATCTATAGCAAAAATTAACAATAATTTGATAATCAAATAAAATATAAGATACCTTCTTAGTAACCACGGGCAAATATTTTAAAATATTTTCCATTTTGTTAGAGAAATTATAGCTAAAACTTTAAACGCAATTTTCTCAAAAGTAACTTTTTGTGGAATGAGTCCTTTCTGTTTAACTACGTTAATATTATTAGGATTGCGTCCTTCTCTTGTCAACATTGTTGACAGCATACCATGGTCTAGTAGCATCAACACTAAGGTATGGAATTATTTTCTGGGGGAATGCCACCTAACCTAACCTGATTTCGGTGACCCAAATGTTAAACAAAATAAAATTATTCATTAAAACCTACAAGGTACCTACCGTAGTGTGTATTGCATATTGCAAACCGTAAGAAAAAATAAATTTCGCGGGCTATCTTGAAATATTTAGATATTGGCCTTTTCAGTATTGTGTTCGTAAGTTCTGTGGTAAGTTCGCAGACTGGCTCGATTGCACAATACGAGTACAAGAGATTAATCAATAACTTAAATTTTAAGGCTGCATATTGTACACAACTGGGCCAATATAATAAATTAAATGTTAAGAGGAGACTCTGATGAAAAATATGTTTTTAAAATGAGTTACCCACGTTAAAGTATTTAATAAATACAAAGTGATTAAAAAATAAAAATTAATAATTTGAAACTACCTAATTTATCTACGATTTTTTAAAGTTAAAAGTAAAACTTGAATAATAATTATAGGATTCCAAATAGTTTTTTTTTCGATTACGGTACATCACTATGAATAGTGAGCTAATGAGTGAAAAGTATTTATTTAGCAAAAAAAGGTGTTCCTTCTTAATCTTTTCAGAGGAATACATAATGGAACGTAACACATTTGACAGTAATACTGTTGACAGTTGACAACTTGTGAGTGACATCAGTGACAGATGTGAACTGAACTGTTGACAGATGTTACTAAGTAGGCTAACGCCCGGTTTCTGAAAGGCTTGTCAACGCTAAAATTAACTAATCTCCTGTTAAATCTCTTGTCAAGTGACAATTGGGTTGCATAAAGCATGATTAATCAACTAATTTGATCGTCATGTCAGTTGACATGGCTGTCAAATCAACTCAAGAATCGAATGATTATCGCAATTTTGGGTTTCTGAAACGCTGGTCAAGCCTTGATCATAGATTATTCGTCTGTCAAAAGCTCGGTCAACTAATCGGTGCTTGTTGGCGAATTAACTTACGAATTCAACTGATTTTTCACGTGAGTCTACATTTTCTCTTCAAATAAGTATATTTTTTTAAGGTATGTTTAAACAGAAATATGTATTACGAAATTTTATTTATAATAATACAATTTTCTTTGTATGTGTAAATTATTTGATGTCTTGATTAACTTACATTGATTCTGGTTTTAGATTACGATAATGTTTCTTTCGGATAGTAGCATGATGAGTATCAGCACATCCAGCAGCGATGAAGATATAAGACCAGAATGAATCCGTTTGATTTCTACAATGAAGAGGAATTTAAGAATCGGTACCAACCAACGAACAAAGGCGTTTGTGCTGTTAGGTACTAGTTAACATGTTAGTGCCGAATATTAAACAGTTCACTTTGAGGAACCATTCTATCAGTGCTTTGGATAGGTTTTACTGACAATAAGCTATTACCATGCCACATGAGCGTTTCAAATTACGGTTGCTGAGAGTGCACAAATCTACGGCTTGTAGAATAATAACAAAAGAATCTGCAGCGATTACTATGCCCTGTAAACATGAAGATTGTACAAGGATAAAAACAGAATCCTACAAAATTAGCTCTTTTCCAAATGTGATCGGGGCATTTGACTGCACACATGTAAAGATACAGTCAACTAGTGAGCCACAAGCTGAACTGTACAGGAACAGGAAAGGATATTTCTCACGTATATCTTAGGATAGTTCAAGAAGATATTGGTGCTCTTTCAGAGATAAATAAAAAAACACTTCTGTGCGCACATCTTTATTGTTGACTCATTTTAATTGTTAAGTAATATTTAAATGGTATGTATTTTTAGGTGAATACAAAGAAATAACCATATTATTAACATGTTTAATTAATCTTTATAAAATATAACACTTGAAATATAAAAACAAGTATAGTAGTAGTATCTTACTTACACATATTTAGTTAGTATAGTAACTTACTTATATTTAAATTAAATACTAAAAATGTATATTTCTTAACCAAATGATTTATTTTATTTCGAAATATATGCGGTTTTATGGTTAACCGATATTCTTACTTTTTTTTTTATTTACATACTCCATCTTTATTTCATTATACTTCTTATTATTTTGTTTCTGAGTGTCTGCCTCTCATGTTTAAATTGTTTCGTTGATGTGCAAGTTAAATTACCTGTAAATAAATTTCATTAAAGTTGCAATAATTATTCTTAATACATGATTAGGTACTTACTTAAGAAATCAGGACAGGTATTTAATATATCCTAATCTGGTAATAGTTACAATATTCTGACTAGCTAGTATGGGCACTATAAAAGTATTTTAAGATCAAAAACTTACATTTTTATTGGCTACATTCTGTCTCGTAGTTCTTTTTAATTCCAATAGGCTATGATTGGCTGTTTTTGGCTTCGAGACACTTCTGCATTACTGTGGAATTCATTCGTTGTGGTTTTCCGAGCTTCATTTTTATGAATAGCAGAAATAGCATTTGTGCACTGATTATCAATTATGTGCTTGTCTCTGTAATAAAATATGGTGCGTATTATACATCAGTCTTGGCTGCAGCGCAGGATGTGAAGTATAAACAAAGATATTTAATACTTTTAAACACGAATAGGTTTATAAAACGCAATAGGTAAAAAATATATGTTTATACTTATACTTACTACTGAACTAGTTCTAAAAGAACATGCCTTTCCCTTTCGATGAAATTCTTCCCTCGTTATGCCATTTTAAGGAAGTTTAGTTAAAATTTTATTGAAATTGTAACTTGATATTTAAATTTCGCAGAATTGTTTGACATCAATGACAGTCCGTAATTTTTTTAATATTAACATATCTGACAGATAAGAATGAACTATTGAACAAAAAGGAGCAGTGTGGCTATGATTAAAAATAAATCCCATGTCAAATCAAAATAATCATAGATTAGTTAATTATGCCCTGATCAACGTTTCAGAAACTCAAATTGATTTGACAGTCATGTCAAATTAATCGGTGTGTTAGTTGATCAAAGAATTGACAAGCCTTTCAGAAACTGGGTGTAAGTGATTAATTGTGATTTCGCGATTGTTACTTACGTTACAATAAAACATAAATTGCTACAAATGTGACCTCGAGATTAAATGCACTAATTGCTGATTAATGTTTACACGATTTGTTAATTAACGAAGTGACCGTGACTAGCCACGACCAGGCGAGGACGGGTGTGGCGTGCGTAAGACAGGCCAGTACGTAGCGCGAGGTCGGTGACCGCGGACGTGGACGAGTGGACAAAATGTTGTCGCGCTATGTGGTGTCGCAAGTGAAGCACAACTCGTACTTCCTGGTGGGGCTGGCGCTGGGGCTGTGGTTGTCGCTGGCGCTGGTGCCGCTGGACGAGGCGCCGATCGCCGCCTGCGACGCGGCGCTGGGCCCCGCCGCCGCGCCCGATGACTTCGAGCCGCAGCGCGAGGAGCGGCCGGGCGGGCCGCGCGCCGCCGGCCGCGCCGTGCAGCGCCCGCGCTACTACAGCACCGAGCTCGGCATGCGCGGTACGTGCCAGGCCGTCTCGTCCGTCGCCTCGTCGCCTCGTCGCCCGGCCCCCGTCTCATGACTTTGCTGCTACTTTCAGGATCTCTGCTCACTGGGGTGCTGAGCTCTGAAGAGGCCCTGAAGAGTCAAATAGCGGCCCTGAACCGTACCACTGCTAGCCTGCAACCTGCGCTGAAGTTCTTCATCACGGCTAGTGCCGTAAGCTCAGTGCCCGGAATGGCCAATGTAGTAGGCTTCACTGACACGAGGGAAATGCTGAAACCATTTCATGCTCTCAAGTATTTAGCCGACAACTATTTAGAAGAGTATGACTTCTTCTTCCTAGTGTCTGATACATCATATGTGAATGCCCAGCGTCTGACAGAGCTGGTATCTCAGCTCAGTGTGAGTGAGGATATCTACATGGGCACCATCGCAGAGGATGACAGCCACTACTGCTCGCTTGGTAAGATATTGTAAATAGTCAATTTATATAATTTTGTTGATGTAGCTCTTAAGTCTTCTGCAGTCAAGTCACTACATATCTCAATGTTTTCCTTTTCAAGACTAAATGTAATTGGAAATGTTGACACACTGGTAAGTGAGCTGGAGGATTGGATTTGAATTAGTACTTTTTCAGACATAGCTGTAAAGATGTGTGAGTAATGTTTTATTTAGTATTGCTGAATAAGCTGCATGCACAGCTAGGTTATTGAGGAGCATGAAGTTGCAGTATTCCTTTACACATGTTGCTTGCCATGTACCTCAGTGTCCCTAGACAAATATATTTTGCTAACAAGATCAGTTGTTATTTGTAGAAACAAAGTTGTAAGAAAAATAAACAGCTAGAACAAGAGACAAGACAATACATGAGCAACTTGTCTAGTATTTGAACAAATACAGCGGTCACTTTCAAGATCAGAATGGACATTTTTTTTATCATAAAATATGAAATGGAAATGTTTATAAATAGTTATAATATTTAATAACATCATCCAATGAGATTTAGACAGGTAAGGAAGAGTGCTGTGAGTAGGTGATGCACAAGTTGTTCCTGCAAGAAAATGTAATATTTGAAGTATTCGATTGAATTGTTAACATTTTATTTTGAAATGTTCTTATTAATTACCATTCTGCTAGTGGTTTCTCATATGTGACTTATGATAAGTGCTCGATGTGTTATTTTAGATTGTACAGTTGTCTGTCCTCATGGCTAGTACCGTTAACATGGTGCGAGCGGGTGTAGTAGAGACAGTAGTGGGTGCGGTGAATGTATAGCGAGGCTGTGTGTCCAGAGGCCGGCATCCTGCTGTCGAACTCCGTGCTGCGCGCCGTGCACGCCGAGCTCGACTGGTGCGTGCGCAACTCCTACTCCGCGCACCACCACGAGAACATCGGCCGCTGCGTACTGCATGCCGCGCGCCGCGCCTGCGCAGACCGCGCGCAGGGCGTCGTGTACAGCTCGCTGGCGGGCGGCGAGGGGGGCGCGGGCGGCGCGGCGCCGGGCGGGCTGGCGCGCGCCGTCACGGTGCGCGGCGTGCGCAGCGCGCGCGACCTGTTCGCGCTGCACGCGGCCGCCGCGCGCCGCCAGCTGCAGGCCGCGCGCGCCGCCGCCGCCGCCGCCCGCGCCGCGCTGCGCCGCGCCGCGCCCAGGCATCCGCCGCACTACCGCAACAACACCTGGCCGCCCGGCCTGCGCGCCGACCCCGGCCTGGCGCCGCCGCCGCCCGACTCGCGGTTAGCAGATACCAACATTTATATTTACCCCTTGCTCATACCACACGAATTCTTGCCAAAAGTTTAAAAAGTCAACGCCATTCTGAAATTAATAAAAAAATCATTCTATCGTGATATTAATATATTGTATGTACTAATACAGGTTTGACCACTTGCGATGGGTGACCTTCAACGCGACGCACGCGTTCTTCCCCGACGACCACCACGAGGTCGCGCGCATCACCGGCGCGCACCGCCTCGCGCTCGACGTGAGTATCGCATCGCATCGCTTCTTTTCGCTACACACTCTTTGCTTGCCTCTAGCATCATATAAAATACAGCCATACTTCTGTAGCCGTAGTCTCTATACTTCCGTTAAAGTAGTCTCTGGTAACAGGCACTGCTGCTATACTTCCGTTGAAGTAGTCTCTAGTAACAGGCACTGCCGCTATACTTCTGCAGCCGTAGTCTCTGGTAACAGGCACTGCCGCTATACTTCTGCAGCCGTAGTCTCTGGTAACAGGCACTGCCGCTATACTTCTGCAGCCGTAGTCTCTGGTAACAGGCACTGCCGCTATACTTCTGCAGCCGTAGTCTCTAGTAACAGGCACTGCCGCTATACTTCTGCAGCCGTAGTCTCTGGTAACAGGCACTGCCGCTATACTTCTGCAGCCGTAGTCTCTAGTAACAGGCACTGCCGCTATACTTCTGCAGCCGTAGTCTCTAGTAACAGGCACTGCCGCTATACTTCTGCAGCCGTAGTCTCTAGTAACAGGCACTGCCGCTATACTTCTGCAGCCGTAGTCTCTGGTAACAGGCACTGCCGCTATACTTCTGCAGCCGTAGTCTCTGGTAACAGGCACTGCCGCTATACTTCTGCAGCCGTAGTCTCTAGTAACAGGCACTGTTGCTATACTTCTGTAGTCGTAGTCTCTAGTAACAGGCACTGTTGCTATACTTCTGCAGCCGTAGTCTCTAGTAACAGGCACTGTTGCTATACTTCTGTAGCCGTAGCCACTAGTAGCTGGCGCGACCTTATTACCACACGTTAACGTCACGTCATATAATAATGTGCTGTAGCTGACCGTACATACGTGTGTTTGGTTCCGTTTTATATTAAACTTGTACAATAGGCGTATTGCTCGACTTACAGCTAGTGCTGCACGCGGCGCGTAGCTGGGCGGCGCGACGCTGGGGTGGGGCGGAGCCGGAGCTGCTGGAGGGGGCGTGGCTATGGGAGCCGGCGCGTGCGCTGCGCTACCGCCTTTTGATGCGGGATGGCAGCGGGGGAGGGCCGGAGGGGGCGGGGCGCGCGCGCCTCCGCCTGCTGGAGGTGGCGCGTCCGCTGGGCGCGGCCCGCCTGCTGCCGGTGCGCTACGTAACAGAATCGGCGCGCCTCACGCTGCTCGTGGCCGCGCCCCCAGCCACGCCCCCCGCCGACCTGCGCGCCTTCTTGGCGCGGTACGAGGCCGTGTGCCTCACCCAGGATAAGAACACCGCGCTCATACTGGTACCTGCACACTGTCCACACTTCCCACACTGCCCACACTACCCACACTGCCCACACTACCCACACTGCCCACACTACCCACACTGCCCACACTACCCACACTGCCCACACTACCCACACTACCCACACTGCCCACACTACCCACACTGCCCACACTACCCACACTGCCCACACTACCCACACTGCCCACACTACCCACACTGCTCTACCGCTACCAAGACACGACACGTACACTGCACACCTAACTCAATTTCAAATCAAAAACTTTGTTGTTAAATGTATCTGTAATTTAAACCTTATACAATAGAATAAGTAACTGGTGTTAAGCTGCGGCTGCGCATCGCATGACAAGCAAGCAGCAAGGTTGTATTAGAGCCGCTTAGGGATCAGATTTCTATTTCGATTATTTTAAAAGCAGCAGTAGGTATGTACTTTTTACGTCAACCACACAATCACATCTCTTTTCTTTTGCTTCTTACCAAAACGATTATATTGAGATACACATTTACTCGTGAATCTCGTCTCTAATACACAACAAAAACTGCTCTGAGTTGATCAGTTTTTATTCCGTTGTAATTGTAGCGTTAATGCTTGTTGTGTAATTGTAGGTGATTGTGGGCAACGCTAACGAGACTACAGCCATCGAGCCCATCCGGGCCGAGGTAGAGGCGCTGCGCCAGCGACACTCGGGCGCTACCCTCACGGTCTTGGACACGCCCGGCCCCGCCCACCTCGCCGCGCTGCCTGAGTACGACGCGCTGCTGGCGGCGGAGGGCGTGGCCCTAACAGTCGCCGCCCCCCACACATCGCGCGACGCGCTACTGCTTGTGCTGCCGCCCCATGCAGAATTCAACCAGGACTTCCTCAACCGGGTTAGTATCACGCGCCAACACCCCTATAGTATTACTTAATCGGGTCAGTACCTGGCGCTAACACCCCTATAGCATTACTCAACCGGGTCAGTATCTTGTGCCGACACCCCTATAGCATTACTTAACCGGGTCAGTACCTTGTGCCGACACCCCTATAGCATTACTTAACCGGGTCAGTACCTTGTGCCGACACCCCTATAGCATTACTTAACCGGGTCAGTATCTTGTGCCGACACCCCTATAGCATTACTCAACCGGGTCAGTATCTTGTGCCGACACCCCTATAGCATTACTTAACCGGGTCAGTACCTTGTGCCGACACCCCTATAGCATTACTTAACCGGGTCAGTATCTTGTGCCGACACCCCTATAGCATTACTCAACCGGGTCAGTATCTTGTGCCGACACCCCTATAGCATTACTCAACCGGGACAGTATCTTGTGCCGACACCCCTATAGCATTACTCAACCGGGACAGTATCTTGTGCCGACACCCCTATAGCATTACTCAACCGGGACAGTATCTTGTGCCGACACCCCTATAGCATTACTCAACCGGGACAGTATCTTGTGCCGACACCCCTATAGCATTACTCAACCGGGACAGTATCTTGTGCCGACACCCCTATAGCATTACTCAACCGGGACAGTATCTTGTGCCGACACCCCTCTAGCAAGGCCGGCGTGGTATATAGCTGGTTGCGTGTACAGGTGCGCATGAACACGATATCGGGCGAGCAGTGGTACCTGCCGGCCGGGTTCGCGCGGCACTCGCTGTACTCGCACCCGCGCTTCGTGGCGCCCGGCGGCGGCAAGCCGCAGGTCAACACGGGCCGCTTCAACCTGCGCGCCACGCTCGCGCTCGCCTTCTACCGCAGCGACTACGACGCGGCGGCCGGCGCCTGGCGCGGCGCCGTCGGCGCGCCCCCGGCCGCCGTCCTGGCGCGCGCCCCGCTGCGAGCGCTGCGCGCCCCCGAGCCCGCGCTGGTGCTGGCGCCGCGCCCCCCGCCGTGCGCGCTGCGGGAGGGGGGCGCGCCCTCGGCCTGCGCGCGCGCGCTGCGCGACCAGCACTTCGCGACGCTGGACGTCGGGGCGCGACACTCGCTGGCCCAGCTGCTGCTGGAGACCCAGGCCGAGCTGGACCAGTGACCGCTCGCCTTGTCTCAATATACGTAACCTGCATTATCTATTCTGTTGTTTCATTTGTCCAACAACCCATCTTACCTATGACACGTACTCAATGAACTTCGTACGATATACAAAGTAACAGTCCCAAAAAATAAGAGCCATCCCGTCTTCGCACGGGTTTGCAATGCTGATTTCTTTACTACAATGGATGTAATTATACATATACGCCTTCCTCTTCAATCACACGTAAAACCTGCTAGCTTTGCCAACGATTGCCGACTTTGCCATAGCCAACTTCCGAGTGAAAAAGTGTAATTCTATCTTAATATCAGTTTTTTTGTCACGTATCCATGCCTTTTTAAAAAATGGCAACACCAAATGAGATGAGTTGTGGCAACCCAACTTGTTTTAGAGATGTTTTTTTCGCCGGTTACTTTTTTCAAATGTCATATATTTTAATTAAATTGTCACTGTAAGTATCTACTTATAATATAATGGAGGTACCTAGGTATGAAATACACAGTCATTATCAGCCTATAAGTGCCCACTGCTGAACAAGGGCCTCTTCTCACATCATACAGAAAAGGTTAGAGCATTCATCACCACGCTTGCTCAATGCGGGTTGACGATTTCAAACTCATATAAGTCCAGGTTTCCTCACGATGTTTACCTTCACCGTATGTCATTGGTGTCTAAATAATCATAGAAAGTACATATAACTCGGAAAAAGTCACATTGGTACTTGCCAGGTTTCGAACCCACATCCTCATGCATGAGAAGTGGGCTCCTTAACCTCCGGCCCACCACCACATAGAGATAACCAGTAAAGAAAATATCATCTCTGGGTTTAGGGCTACCGGGATAGTAGGTACCGTTTAACCCTCATAAAATATTTAGAACACTTCCTGACTAAGAACAAGAAACTAATTATAGCGTTGGCAACGCGCTTTTAGACTATTTAAAAGAAAACCGGTCAGTAAATCTTCTAAGGAAAACAAAAATTAAAAAAATCAACAATACACACGATGCTTCAGTTTTGTCCAAAGGAATAGAATTGTTGATGTCGAATAAAAAAAGTAACTCTAAGAAACTTTCAAATAAAACAATAAGTACTTAAGGACAAGCGTGAGTTTGGATCGGAAAGCCAACTGAAAATGAAATGACTACTGCATCACTAGAACCTGAAAAAGAAACTTATCATCCTTGGTTTGCGTCTGAAAATGAAACTGCCGCTACAACATCTGCACCAGGACCTGAATCTACTGTTAAGTCAGATGGAAAAAAGTTTCAATATTATCTGAAATCAAGTATAGTCCACTGAATCGCGCTTTCTATTTGGATAAAAGTAATCTTAAATTGCACAAAATAGATAAAACTCACAATATATCAATTAATCCGTGTAACGATAAAAATCTTCATATTGACCCAGAACCACCTTTTGATTATAATAATCCAGTACCATCCACCTCTGAAAAAATATCTCACATGCCTTTAGGTTGTAATAGAAAAAGGAAGTTAGTTCAAGGAACCGATGAAAGCAATGATGATTATACTTTTTAGGAGTGAGAGCAGGGTTTCTTCTTATTAGTGAACTCGAGGCTGTCGTGGTTTGGAATGATTTATTCGGCTACATATCCCTACTTATATTTACATGTCTTATGGCTAACTTATACACTATCACACATATGTAAATACAATTGACCAATAGCAGCGCGCGTTCGTCGCAAGGCTCGACAGAGCGGCTGCGCGCATGCGCCGTCGCGGTCGCCGTTCGCCGCGATGTCGCGAGGCTATAATAGGGCGCGTGCCGCGTGATGCGTCCTTTCGCTCCGGTGCCGCCGACGACTACAGACGTGTCCAGTGTCGTGGACCGCGACTTCGTGTCTTCGTGTGCTTCGAGCTTCGCTTCTGCTTGCTTGCCTGCTTATTTGCTTGCTCATTATATTTCGTTTCTGAGCAGAAGTCAAAAACGTTTTAAAACGTCTTTTTCAAGACGAGTTTCTGTCAGCAGAAGTCTAAAACGTTACAAGCGTCTTTTTCAAGACGAGTTTCTGTCAGAAGTCTAAAACGTTTGCAACGCCTTTTTCAAGGCGGCCTGTTTCACTGTTTCTGATCACAGAAAGTCAAAAACGTTGGTATTGGTTTGTTGTTCACGGAGGTATGGTAAAGGTAATCTGGTTCTTCAAGGAGGTACGGTAAAGGTAATCTGGTAATAGGTATGAGGTGTGGTGGTTATGCCATAGAATGTAGGTAGGTATGTATGTATGCCGCTATATCACTCCCCCCTAAGCGAAGCGTACGTTTGGTTTCACTGTACGGCCGGTGCGGGTGACGTAGGCGTCGCGCGGTGGGGTGAATGACATTGTCCGTGCGTCGTTACTCGTAGTTGTAGGTAGATAGTTCGATGTTTGTTCGCGCGCAGATGCAGTAGGTACATAGTCTTGCTGTTGGCGCGTATCTGATGTTGATAGGGTGTCGTCTTCATTGAGTAAGTATGCTGGTTTGAGTCTGTCTATTGAAATAACTGCAGTACGTGGATACATTTGTATGGTGAAATGTTTGCTGTCGCGCCGAAGTACTTTGTAGGGGCCGTCGTAGGGAGGTACCAGTGGGCTGCGCACGGTGTCATTGCGCACGAAAACATGTGTACACGTAGCAAGGTCTTTGTGTACAAATGACCTTGTGGAGTTTGAGTGTGGCTTGCTGTTCGGCGATAATGTAGACATTGTTTCGGTCAGCTGACGGACGAATTCGGCGTCATCGATGTTCGGCTGAGTAGGCACGAAGAAATCAGATGGTATGCGGAGTGTTGAACCGTAGGTCATGAGTGCCGGGCTGACTTCATTGTCTTGTCGTAATGCTGTACGTAGGCCGAGTAGCACAGTTGATAACTCGTCGCTCCAGTTTGTGCGCGCGCATCTCGCCATGAGTGCTGACTTCAAGGTTCGGTGCCAGCGCTCGACTTGTCCGTTTGCTTGAGGGTGGAAAGCAGTAGTGCGTATTCTGTTTATTCCACATTTCTTCATCAGCGCCTTGAACAGTGACGACTCGAACTGTCTCCCTTGGTCGGTCGTAAGTCGTAGCGGGCAACCAAATCTCGATATCCAACCGTCGTAGATAGCCTTGGCGATCGTGTCCGCGGTGATATCGTGTACGGGTATAGCTTCAGGCCATTTTGTGCAGCGGTCAATCATGGTTACTAGATATCGGTAGTCATTTGACGGCGGCAGTGGTCCCACGATGTCGACGTGTATATGTTCGAAACGCTGGGATTTTCCGAACTCGCCGAGAGGGCTGATAGTGTGCCGCTGTACTTTCGCTCGCTGACAACCGATGCATGTTCTTGCCCATGTTCCGACTTCTTTGTTCATGTTCGGCCAGAAGAACTTCGAAGATATTATTTTTCTCGTAGTACGCGCGCCTGGGTGACTTAAATCGTGTTGCGCTTTGAATGCGACAAAACGATATTTCGCGGGTAAATACGGACGAATGTTGCCTGTCGATGTTTCACAGATAAGCGGTCGTTGACCTCCGGGTAGTGAAATACTGGTGAACTGTAGGTTTGGATGTGACATGTATCTCTGTAGTTCTGAGTCGTTTTCCTGGTCTTGAGCGAGTTGATTGTGGTCGATGGATGTTTCAGACAGGTTGATCTCTTCTATGCGTGATAAGGCGTCGGCCGCTTCGTTGTTATCACCGTGTACGTACTTTATTTTTGAACAAAACTGACTAATGAAATGAAGTTGTCGTTCTCTTCGTGATGTGTCGCTGGTACTCGGTGATCTTGTTAGTGCATAGGTGAGAGGTTTGTGGTCGGTATATATCGTAAGGTCGTTACCTTCTATTAACCTACGAAGGTGTTTGACAGAAATGTACATCGCTAATAATTCGCGATCGTACACACTGTAACGTCGCTGAGTCTCGCTCATTGTTTTCGAGAAAAATGCTAGTGGTTTCCACACGTTGTCTACTT